ACCCCAGATAGCCCCATGCTTTCCCCTCTAACCCCCGCTGAAACCTGCTCCATGTAGGGTTGTTGGGAAGAGGAAAAAAGAATATAATTAAGTTCTGCCCACTCAGATGGCATGGAAAGCTATGTCTGTTATTTATCTGCATTGGAAATTGTCATTTGCAGATCTGGAGATTACTTTCATTGTGTGTCATTTATTAAGACAAATACTTTCAAGGAAAATAAAAGTCCCTCTGGGTGCTATGTGACTGAGGGCAAGTGACCACTCTGAACCTCAGTCTGTTCATTTGCAAAAGAGGTAGGAAGAGAAGGAGCTGGGGGTATTTAGGGAGGAGGGGAAGCTGCAGGCCACCTGGTCCCTTCTGAAATAGAAGCTCCCTCAGGCATCTGCAGAGAGTGTGTGCCAACTTGTCTGGGTTTTGATTGATGGGAGAATGTTTTCTTCACTGGCAAATATTTGTGTTCCAAAGTTGGCGAAGCTTCCCTACCGGCTTTTCGCAGCCTGTAAAAGAGCAAAGGAAAAGAGCTGGTGGGAAAGCTGAGGTCCAGCAAGACCACGGCAGGTGAGTAGGAGAATCGCCTGAGTCCTGGTGTCCTTATCTGTTAAGTGGGGACAGTGTTGCTGCTGACCTCACTGTACTGTTGAGAGAATAAGAAGAGACAGTATACAGTGTTGCGTACTGCAAAATGATAGCGTCTTGGAGTTTCAAAGTTGAATGTACATCAAGGGCACTAGAAGGACTTGTTAAATGTCCTTCCTTTCACAGCAGCACAATTTAAAATAGCCAAAAGGTAGAAATGCCCCAAATGTCCATCAACTGTGGAGTGGATAAATAAATGTGCTCTATACATATTATGGAGTATTATTTGGTAATAAACAGGAATGAAACATTGATATCTGCTACAATGTAGGTGAACCTTGAAAACATTATGCTGCATGAAAGAAGCCAGTCACCAAAACTATGTATGATTCCATCCATATGAACCTCTAGAATAGGTAAATCTGTAGAGACAGGAAGGAAGGAAGTTGTTGCCAGGTTAGGAGAGAGAGAAATGGGGTATGACTGTTAATAGAGATGGCATTTCTTTTGGGGTGACGAAAATGTTCTGTAATTAGCAGTGGTGGTTCCACGCTCTGTAAATATACTAAAAACCACTGAATTGTACACTTTAAGAGGGTGAATTTTATAATATGTGAATTATTCCTCAATAAAGCTATTATTTAAAATGCTTTTTCCTAAGCTCCAGGCTCAGACTTTCTGACTCAGAAACCACACACTTAACGTGCTCCCCGGGAGATTTTTATAATTGGGAAAACTGGGGAGGGAAGTGATTTGTCCCGATCCAGTTCAGTTCTGGTTCTGGATTTCATCCAGAATAAATGGAATCATATCCAGACTCCTAGGACCCCAAGAGGACTTCCAGCCTCCTGCTTGGCCTCTCAAAGTGGGGAGAACAAGACTACTGTCAAAACAAGACTATAGACAAAACTAGAGGGGGAGGGGGAGTTGGGAATGTTGGAGGTGGGGGTGCTACTTGAGATGGGATGGGCAGGCCCTCACGCTATTATTTCCTGTTGTAAGAAATGCCTCTGCTAAAAGGCTAGAATGCCCCACGTGGTAATATATTAACAGCTGGAGATAAAATAAATGAGGTTAAAGAGACAAATCCCCTGTGCAGAAGAATTCCAAATGATATATATAGATGCCCCGCCCTCAGGAAGGTGGCACATAACTCCCTGTGCCTGAAGTGTGGGCTGCCCAGGGCGACTTCCTTCCAAAGAGAACAGGATGGAAAAAAAGAGTTACTTGACAGTGGAGAAATCTGACCAACACACCTCAGCCAGGCGATCAAGGTCAACATCAGCAGTGATAAGCCATGACGATGGCATGTACCCCTAATATAATGAATGAGAAGAGCACTTTACTTCCCAAACCTACAACCCCAGTTTAATCATGAGAAAAACGTCAGACAAATCCCAGGAAAGGGACACTCTACAAAACACCTGACCAGTGCTCCTCAAAACTGTCAAGATCCTCAAAAACAAGGAGGCTAAAAAACTCACAACCCAGAGGAACCGAAGGATTCATGATGACTAAATGTCATGTGGGATCCTGGGTGGGAGCCCAGAACAAAAAAAAAGACATTAGGGAAAAACTGAAAAAAAAAAAAAAATGTGAATAAGGATGGATTTAGTTAATAACAATGTATCAAAATCAGTTCCCTAATTGTGACAAATGTACCAAAGTAACATAAGATTAAGCACAGGGGAAACTGAGTGGGCAGTGTACGTGAACCCTCTGGACTATCTTTGTGACTGTTTTCTATATATCCAAAGCTATTCTAACCGAGAAAAAGTTTATTTTTAAAAAGCCTCCCTTAGTCTCACCTGGGAAACCTAAAACATCCCCAAATCTGTGAACCTATAGCCCCCTTCAGGGTAGTCAGCCCTACAACACCTTTTGGTCACAGAATTTAGGTTGGCAAAACAATGCTCTAAAACGAGTCAGCAACGTGGACCTCTGATTTGAAGGCAGTGGATCCTTCTGCAATGATGGAAATGTCCCCTAGCCACACCGGCCAGTACAGTGGCCACATATGGACAACGAGTGCTTACAATATGAGTGACTGACTAAGGACCGGGGTCCTCTGAAGGGTCATTCACTCGTGTGTCTGATGTTGGGCCAGCAGCCAGCTGATGCATACCCACAGGCGATCCTTGAGTTGAGCACGTTTGGGGACGACCTGTGGTCCACTGTGCAGAGTGTGTTCATTCAGTGCTGGATTAGTTCGAATCTCTGTCATGTGGGAGCAGTTTTCTTACAGTGAGGAGACCAGTGGCCTAGGAAAATGATAAATTACAGTGAAGAACTGAGGAGGTGGGTGAGAGGTTCAAAGAACTCTCAGTCCTGCCTGTGCATGAGACTCACCCGCCTGACGCCCAGGCCACACCTGGATCAAAGGAGTCAGAACCTCTGGAGCAGAGCCCAGGCCTGGGCCAAGGCTACGAGTCACTGCTCTGATAAACTGAGTGCAGCCGCTTTCCTGTTGTCTCCGGGGAAGTAATGACCTGCAGCTGGTGGTGTCACCCATCTAAGGAAGGGCTAGAATTTCAGTCATGGCAGCAGAAGAGAAATGCAAAATGCAAGACACCTCCTCCAGGGTCACTTCCTTGCCTTGCTTCAGCAAAACAACCTCGTGGTGTGGTTCAGGGCAGGGGACACTACTGCTTCCCTAACTGGACCCCCACTGGGCTCCAGGAGCCAGAAAGCCACAGCCCCTGCCTGCACCTTGTCTCTAAGGTGGAGGCGATAATATAACCACCTACAGGACTGACCTCGATGGCTCTGATTGGTTTGGGCCACCCCTCTCAGTTGCAGCTGTACCTGTTCTGAATATCACCATCCTTAGGGCTGGTAAGGTTGTCAGCTGTGTCCAGCAGGACTATGCTCGACAGACAGCGGCTCCTACTCTTAGCAGGAGTGGTGTCTTTTTCTCGTGACAGCCCCATAAGGCATTATTGTCCCCGTCGAGTGTGGTGAGAAATGAAGCAAGAAAGACGCAGTGACTAGCTCTCCAGGGCCTGCTGTAAGCCACTTCTGAGAACGTGATCCCAAGTGCAATGCGAGGCCATCTGAGGGATCAGGTCAGGGAGCGACATACGTAGATTTGCATTGTGGAAACACACTCTGGGGATGGAGTGGGGGTAAGACATGGTCCAGGGGCAGCAGACTCATCTGTTGGCTGTGAGCAAAGGTCCAGGTGAGCAATGGCGATGGCCTGACCTAGGCACTGGGACCAGAAGGAGGGACTATCTGAAACCAGAGCCCATTCACCGCCTGCCTGTGTCTAGAAAAGCCACTCTATCCAGGTGCCCACAGGTATCTCCCCACCTACCTGTGGCCCCACACAGCCTGGCAGCACACCCCGTGCTCCCTGGAGGGCCTGCAGAGTCCTCCCCGCGGCTCACCGGCCTCCCGGGTTTAGCGGGGGCGCCATCATGCCAGCTACGCGGCACACAT